GCTGGAGAAGCAGCGCAAGGTCGAGGTCTACGCCGACGCCGACCAGATCCTGCAGGAGGAGATCAAAGAGTACCGGGTGAGCTTCCGGGACCTTCTGGAACCTTCCGGAACCTTCTGGGAGCTCCTGGGAGCTTCCGGGACCTTCTGGAACCTTCTGGGAGCTCCCGGGACCTTCCGGGACCTTCCGGAACCTTCTGAGAGCTCCTGGGACCTTCCGGGACCTTCTGGGACCTTCTGGGAGCTTCCGGGACCTTCCGGGACCTTCTGGGAGCTCCTGGGAGCTTCAGGAACCTTCCAGGACCTTCCAGGACCTTCTGGGACCTTCTGGGAGCTCCCGGGACCTTCTGGGACCTTCCGGAACCTTCCAGGACCTTCCGGAACCTGCTGGGAGCTCCTGGGAGCTTCTGGAACCTTCTGGGAGCTTCCAGGACCTTTTGGGAGCTTCTGGGAGCTCCTGGGAGCTTCTGGAACCTTCCATGACCTTTTGGGACCTTCCAGGACCTTCTGGGAGCTCCTGGGAACTCCTGGAACCTTCCAGGACCTTCTGGGACCTTCTGGGAGCTCCCGGGACCTTCCAGAACCTTTTGGGACCTTCCGGGACTTTCTGGGAGCTCCGGGGAGCTTCTGGAACCTTCCAGGACCTTCTGGGAGCTCCCGGGAGCTTCCAGAACCTTCTGGGACCTTCCAGGACCTTCTGGGAGCTCCTGGGAGCTTCAGGAACCTTCCAGGACCTTCCGGGGCCTTCTGGGAGCTCCTTGGAGGTTCCAGAACCTTCCAGGACCTTCTGGGACTTTCTGGGAGCTCCTGGGAGCTTTCAGGACCTTCCTGAAACTTCCGGGACCTTCTGGGACTTTCTGGGACCTTTGGGGACCTTTTAGGAGCTCCTGGGACCTTCCAGGACTTCTCAGAACTTTCTGGGACCTTCTGGGAGCTCCTGGGAGCTTCAGGAATCTTCCAGGACCTTTTGGGACCTTCTGGGAGCTCCTTGGAGGTTCCAGAACCTTCCAGGACCTTCCAAAACCTTCCGGGAGTTCCTGGGAGCTTCA